TTCGCCCATATAGAGTTAAATCAGGTTGCATTGGTTTAACTGAGAAGAAAATTTGGCCTTATGAGATTGTAAATACACTTTATAATATAATAACACTGGGCAGAATGGACTTCAAGTCAGGGGCAGCACTTCTTTGCATTGCTTCAGCTTTAGAATCAGTTCTCTCCCAGTTCCAATCTCATATTTCATTTTTTTCTCCTTCCTCTGAGGTGGAAGTATGATGTGTCAGCCCTTCTGCAACAGTTAGCACCCCTAGCTAATGAACGTGAGGGGCATAATCAAGGTTCTATCCACCCCTATTCCCTGACCACCTACCTGCATAGGATGGGAGTTACTGCCTGAAGTGGGTGGCTGCCCTTTCTCCCTTCTGTGCTGCTACCTAAAATGCTGTATCTTGATCACAAGGATTATCAACTCCTTAGCATAATTGGTGTGCGTCTGTCTATATGTATGTCTGTGAGGGGAATTGCTGAGGTGAATATGTGAAGAGCAACCACCAGTAATTCTTCTAGATTTTTATCATTAAATTAATCACAAAACTGAATCTGCAATGACCTGCACAGACATCGGCAGCAATGGTGCAGTTATACAAACAGCATAATGACATTTTGATAGACTGTCTTTCCTGCAGTTAAGGAGCCTTCCTGAGATTGGACTACATAATTTACACCATCAACAAAGTATTGCCTCTCTGTTATTTAAACATTGAGCTCCTTGTCCTGGTCAACTGTGATTAACTGGAATCTGTGTATGTTGATTGAGCTGATTGTCAAGTGCCTGCAACCCAGTGCATTGCTCACTGTCACAGTCTAATAGTCTCATTACTTATGCTGATTCACCCTGCCTCTTCCCTTGGATGGAATAGGTTCTGTTTCTTGGAGGGAAAAAACAACCAAAAACTTTTATCAGGTTTTTCATTAGACCAAAAATAAACCAAAGGTTAACAACAAATAAGTAGCAGTATTTAGACTGAACGTGTGGTTCCAAAGGATGATGATTACAGCCTGTGGCTGCATTACCTTATCTAGGAAATTTCCAGAGAGGATTATGTTTATTCTCAAGCACCACCCAACCCAGGCCTGCGCATGCCCTGCACTCTCCCCCTGCATAAATATCAAACACACTAGCTGCCCATTACAGGGAGTCAGCAAAGAGGATATGATGCTTCAGAGCCAGTTGATCCCTCTACAAGGGAAAGGAGCTCATCGTAAAGAGGGTTCCTTTTGTCCACAGATAACTGGACAGGAGCATGATCTGGCCCATGCCTAATGTGAACGACTAACTTTAACCAAAGTGATAGTAACTTTTGTAATTTAGAGGAAAACACTTCACATTTAGGTGAGTAGAAAATACTGCGTAATGACATTTACAGTCAGTGGTCTCCTAGCAGCATATAATATTAAATTCAACTGAAGTGTTTGTAGTCACATCCTCATTGAACCCATCTATGGAAATATTCTGGGTTGGAACTCACTAAATTTAACTGGTGACCTCAGATGAACTGTGTCACAATGTATGCACACCCCATGCCAAAAAGGAGGTTCACAAGGGTACATGTGGATACCACTTTCATCACGGCTGGGCTATCAGTGACCTGAGCCAGCCTGTCACCCCGAGGCAACATGGGCTAATGGCCAGAGTCTGTAATGCAGCTCTTCCTTGCAGGGCAGCATGGCCCAGTAGCCAGAATGTATAAAGCAGTCTCTGGGTTGCAGGGACACATGACCTGATGTGTCACAGAGCAGAGGTCCTTGTCACAGAGCAGCAGGTCCTTCCTTTCTAGCATTGAGCCCGGACTGGGTTGAGCTGCTCCCTTTTATACTATCCCAGCACTTGGAGCATGCCCAGGACTTCTTCCACCCAAAGGGTATTAACCTCTTCAGACCCAGTGTAGGGTATGCCTATCCTGTCACAACTGTAACTTCTCCAAATGGTAGGCTTTGCATCAAACATGACTAGCTCAAGGAAGTCATTACCCCCAGACTATTGTAGCTGTGTGCCACATAGGGGGTGGAGTGTCGTTATGCTGCCTAATGATTAGAGCAGGACCCAGACTGTGCATCTGACTTAGAAGCACGGGGGAAGTAGTCTGTGTCAAGTATATAGGGGGAGAAGGAAGGTAATGAGGGAACAGAGTGTTAACCAGAACTTTGATGGTAAGGATGGGTAGGGCCAAGGCACGTCCATTCCTGGCTCCCATCTGTCTTTCAAGGAGGAAGAGAGTAACCGATATCCCTTGCTGGGAGGGCATCAGGTCGACCATAATCTAACCCACCATTTTGTAGAAATAGAGTGAATTGTATCTTGGTTGACAACAATTAGACCCATGGACTTAAACTTTGAAACTTTGCTTCTATGTTTTTAAGGGTGCATGCAGGCTTTGGTGGTGGTGGTGGTGTTCACATATGGAAAGCTGCAAGTAAAATAGGCACAAGGCTGAGTTCCCATAAGTAATTCATTTGGGAATGCAGTGCTATAAACTGGAATGTAAGGCTATTACCTCAACACCTTTGAAAAGCATTGTGTGAACTATACATTCCATTTTATTAATGTATCTTATCCTACCTACAAATCCTGAGACCATGGGTTGACTGAAAAATCTCTTCCCCTCAAGATGATACTGTGCATCTTTCCAACTTTCCAGAGATATGTTTTTCTATCTAATTATGTCTTCTACTCAGACTTACAGAAATCTGAAACTGATGTAAATCAGTGTAGCTACAGCTAGTGCTACACGTTTCCATCTAGAGCATTTTGCTGAGAAGCAGTGCTGTTTAGGGCAGTTTAAGACATTAGCGTAGGATTGGGGACACAAAGATTGAATTCCTGCCTTTGCCACTGACTCGCTGAATGTCTCAATAATCTTTGCTGTTGTTTCTCCTCTGATGCTTATTATTCTTTTGTAGGGGGATAGCTCTTGGGCGTCCCAGTCACAAGCCAGGAGCTCATTGTGCTAGTCACTAAACAAACACAGAACAAAGAGACAGTCTCTGCCCCCAAGATCTTACAATTTAAGTAGTCTGCCCTGTCAATTCAGAGTGCAAGCTTTGAAAGTTGAGGACTATTTCACACTGGGTTTTTGTGTAGGAGTGAGCACAATGGGGACTCAATCTTGGTTGGGACTGCTAATAACCATGTGAGGAACAATTAAGCTATTGGTTTTTTTTCAAAGACATTTGATTTCTTTTGTTCCTAAGAACTTTTCACTAAGTAGGCCATCCTGTAAAATAAACCAAAAATCAAAACATCACATCCATACACAAAGGAATATTTGGACTGAATAACCTATTTATTCAGTAAGGCAGCCTCTAACAGATCAATTGGGACAGAAAAACAGATTTTTGGGAGTATTATGTTCAATTGGCTTTTCTGCAAATATACTAGGGTATTCTTCAAGTGCTGATGGATACCCTTCACCCGCAAATACACTGCGTAATTGGCATGTATTTAGAGGATGAGGGTTATTCTGTAGGGCTATGTCTACATTGGCACCCCTTTCCGGAAAAGGGATGCTAATGTAGACTTTGGAATAGGCAAATCCGCGGGGGATTTAAATATCCCCTGCAGCATTTGCATTAACATGGCTGCCGCTTTTTTCCGGCTTATCTCCAAGCCGGAAAAAAGCGGCAGCCATGTTAATGCCAATGCCGCGGGGGATATTTAAATCCCCCGCGGATTTGCCTATTCCAAAGTCTACATTAGCATCCCTTTTCCGAAAGGGAGGCCAGTGTAGACACAGCCTAGATGTTTTCCTATGAATTTGCTCATGTTCTTTATCTCTTAGGGTACGTCTAAACTACATGCCTCCGTCGACGGAGGCATGTAGATTAGCCAGATCGGCAGAGGGAAATGAAGCCGTGATTAAAATAATCGCGGCTTCATTTCCCTCTGCCGATCTGGCTAATCTACATGCCTCCGTCGACGGAGGCATGTAGATTAGCCAGATCGGCAGAGGGAAATGAAGCCGTGATTAAAATAATCGCGGCTTCATTTCCCTCTGCCGATCTGGCTAATCTACATGCCTCCGTCGACGGAGGCATGTAGATTAGCCAGATCGGCAGAGGGAAATGAAGCCGTGATTAAAATAATCGCGGCTTCATTTCCCTCTGCCGATCTGGCTAATCTACATGCCTCCGTCGACGGAGGCATGTAGATTAGCCAGATCGGCAGAGGGAAATGAAGCCGTGATTAAAATAATCGCGGCTTCATTTCCCTCTGCCGATCTGGCTAATCTACATGCCTCCGTCGACGGAGGCATGTAGTCTAGACACACCCTTAAAGAAAGCAAGCACAAAGGGCCTAATTCTGTCATCGTAACCCCTGCTGGGTAACACCTCTTCCTGAGAGTAGTTGTCACTCAACACAAATGAGAATTAAAAAAATCAGAGCATAAGTTAGTTTCTGAAAAAGAAGAGAAAATAAAGTCTATAGATAGTGCTTTAAGAATAAAGGTTGAAATCTTCCTTCCATTGAAGTCAATAGCAAAACTCTCATGATTTCCACAGGTCCAAGATTTCACCCATATTTTATGGTAATCAGAGGCAGTACAGAGGCAGGTGAGCACAGGACAACACTGGGAGTTTATTGGGGGAAGGGGTCTATTAGTTCCCTTCCTTTCACCCACTTAACTATCTTTTCCCTTTTTTCCCCTGAAAAGGGGACCAAAAAAAGTGAAAGAATAATGTTAGTCTCTCTCATTTTTATTTTTGTTTTAAATAAAACCTTTTTTTCACTTTTGTAATTGAAAAAAGAGGGGCAAATTTAAAAAAATACAAAGACAAAAAGTACTTTTCCTCTCTCTCTCTTTCTCTCTCTCTCTCCTCTTTTATACTTTTGCCTACTTCTTGAAAATGAACCTGATTTCATCTCTGTATTCTGAGACTGGAACTTGAGTGCATAATTTGTTGTGAAAGTGAGAGGAGGAGCTAGCAGAAGACAAATGGAGGCAATCCAAGAATTCCTGGAGTTACAAAACTAGATTATCTTTCACGTACAAAAAACTCACACAAAGAAGGGCTCTGCCTTGAAATTGTTACTGAACTTTACAGTGGGAGGTAAAAGCCAGGAGAGTGTATAGGGGCATGTTTATAAGCAGGTTAGGAACAAAGCATCAGAGATTTTCACAGGTATTAAATTAAGGTTTTACAGATTAATTAAAATGATGGAAGTAGGCAAGCATGAGAAATATGTGCTCTTAAATGAGGACTCTGACATGGAAGAATTTGATAAAAGTAAAGTGGCACTGATGCGCCATCCCCAAGATGGGTGAGTTTTTAAAATTTTTGTTTTAGTACTGAATCTGAATTATATATGTTACTTCATATTTAGAGGATCTGATATACTCTTACCACACACAGTTATGTGAAAAGTTAAATGGACTTAGAGACAGAAGTGTAATTTAAAAAAAAAATCAACAGCCTCATCTGTCTCTAACAAATGGTAATCAATATACCTGAAGAAGCATTTCTTATTGCTCTACAACTTTTTATACCTTTACATTGGCAACAATATTTATATATGGAGTCAAGGCAATGTACAAGATAGAAAATAGAAGGGCCACATGTTTGTCGTGATACATTGATTCCTAGCGCGAAGGTCATTTTGAAAGATTTATCTACTGGTGTTTGCCCTTTCTGTAAGTCAGATGAAGAGTTTGGATGGAACTACTGATACTTACATAGATTTGATATTTACGAGGATACATTTTGGTAATAAAGAGAACAGTAAATTTTAATTCAGTGATTATTGAATGGATTTTTGGCAAGCTTTTTTGTGATATGAGAGATATACCATCTCTGATTTTGGAAAATCCCTCCTATCTGCATAAAACAATCATAACAGTTCTTCATTGAAGCATGGCACTGAATTCTGTAAACAGAGATATTTGAATGGACCATGAGGTCATTTAAAAAAAAACAAAAATAAAAAACAATGCTCAATATACAGGTAATCCATGCTGGAGAAAACATATTTGCAATAACAAAGTAACATGTAAACAATTATAATAGACCAACAAAAATAAAAATATGATATGTAGTCTTGGCAGAATTCAATTTTTTATATTTTTGATAGATATAAATGCTTATTTTATGAATGTTTATATTTATAAATTTAAATTTTTACAGTTGCCCAAAATTATGGATTTTAAGTATTTGCTTTCAATTTTTATCTATTAAAATGTTCTGGGAAGTTATGAAGGGCTAGGTGATAATTGTGTATTTAAGGTAGATATTGACATTCAAAAACTTAAACCTTTTTAATCATTGAAACACAAATTGAAAATATTACATGTCAAAATATACAAATCAAGCCCTAAAGATCTCAAGCAACGTTTTGATTATTATTGATAGGAATATTTTTGTCTGTGTGTGTATGGTGCAAATGCTGCTTACCTTTATATTTACTAATATAAATCTAATCATGACATGGCTTAGTACATAGCACAAAGTAACTACTTTATTAAATCCTTAAAAGTTCAGAAAGATTCACTAATTTTTTTATGTCACTGTGCAAATGCTTTGTTTTCCCACTCTATTTATGGAAAATTCAAAATGTCTTATATAGCACTTCTTACCTGCAATAGACAGATGTATGTTACTGCTGGGTTTACCATACCTAATAGGAAGGGGCTCTGTCTAATACTGTGAAGGAATCATTTGAAAATAGCTTAATAACTGGGCAAATTGTGGACATAGAGAGCAATAGTATGAATTACAGTCTGAGATGTCACAGTTAGTGTCAATCCCTTCAGGACAGTCAAAGGAAGAAGATTTTAAGGTACAGCTGTAACTTCCACAGTCTTGTGGAGGATATGAGGGCTTCTTTTCTTATCAAGGGACCCAAATGTGACCTTTGATAGCCTCATTCCTGTGATACTTGTGAGTATCCATTATATGCATCAATGCATATGCACCAATATTCACAAGTAACATTGGCTAGGAACGGTGATCCGTGGCCACCGGGAGCTGTTAGCTTGTTTCAGTGTTTAATCACTCTGGCTATTAAAGCAATTGAGCCTAACTTCTCATTTGAATTTGTTTGGTTTTAAAGTCTCTTCCTTTGTGAATCCGTTTAATAAAGTTATTTCACAACAGATCTCATGTTCAGTAAAGAGGAAAAGTGAAGCCCTTTGGCCTTATGCTCTACTGTCTTCTGTAGTCATGCATTCTGGCTCAAAGTTGGGGTAAAGTACTTTAGTGAGCATTTATTATTCACTTTGCACCAGCAGAAGTGGCTTCATAAGGGCTATAAAACAATAAGACCCTTAATGCCTAAGTAAAAACATTCATTTTAAATTCTTGTTCGAGACAATTCCTTAGAAAGTAGAAATAAATATATTTTGACCAGAGTAATGAACAGTTAAAGTGAATATGTTGTTCGAGATTTTTATCCTTCAGGGAGAAATACACTATACATGTGTTATTCTGCCTGCTTATAAAACTGAGATAATAGTGTGTGTGCGTCACGCATACACTCTTAATGAACAAGAAAACAAATGTTTTGCTGAACTACGCTCTAAACGTATTTAATTCTAATGAATGAACAAGATGAACGAGGGCCCAAAAGGAACTTTATAAGAGGGAAGATGGTGCACAGGGTAGGGAATTGGACTGAGTGAATCCCTAGTTCCATTCTCTCTGTTAACAGTGAACGGCTGGGCTACTTTCTACCAAATTGCCTTCATTAAGGGACCCACTGAGAAGTGCTTTCGAATTAATCTGTAAATCCTCCCTCTCCGCAAAATTTGAGCAGCCAGGCTGTCTACTCAGCTTCTGAAGGAAAAGGGAATCAGGTTCAAGAACGAGTAGCTATTTACCTCAGTGAGGGGAAATGACTAGGGGATCCCCAGTAGCCACTTTACCAGCCTAATCCAGGAAGCCCCCAGAGGCTTTCATATCACTCCAGACAGAGCCAACATTGTTCTGCACAGGCTCCTTAAAGCCAACTTCCCTTCACACTGCAGCAGAGCCACGACAGATGCAGTGCAGAAAACCATTTATGCATGTAATTGCCCTCTAAGCTAGATTTACCTTAGCATAAATGCAAGTTACTCCACACTAACACAAGGAGGACTGGAGCTTGGTTTTCTTGGGTGTTTTAAAAAACACCATTGAAATCTGTCAGGTGATCTGCTTTAGTCCCACTAAGTGCAACACAGTTCATTCCCTTCCAGGGATCAACAACCAAACCTACCACTTTTTAATCAGACATTGCAGCACACAGGAATGGGGGAGGGGAGTTACTTTGACTTGGTCCCCCCTAAATTGCCATGGAAGCATTTAGCACAAATATGCCACACTCCATTCTTTACATATATTTTAAATCAATAGCTCCCCTATAAACTTACCTACATGAAAAGAGGACCCCTTTCCACCATTTAAAACCGCAAATTCACAGAACAGAAAACCTCTTCTCCCTCCCCGCTCCCACACACACAAGAAATTAACCTGCTGGGCTGTTCCAGCAAGGTTATAAAGCTTCTCAGGTGCTGCTGCTGCTGCAGCCCTAACAAAAATGAGTCATCAGTGAGTTTTTCCTTCTCAGACAGACACATTTCATTTCAGCCACATTGACATTTGAAAGGGAAAAAGTACACAGGGGAGCTCTCAGAGAGCCACTGAGTATAGCATTTATATCCATCCTCATTCCAGAGGAGCTTCACAAGGCAGCATTTTGTGTGCTGAAATCTTATTATAGGCAGGGCCCTATGTACTCTGCAGCTGTGGCATCTGATATAGAAGAAACAACCCCTTAGATGCAGAATTTTGCTACAGAATCTGCTTTCTCGCCATCTGCCAAAATCTACTTGTTCCTCCTTGAAAAATTCTGTAGTGCAGTTATATGCTGTCAATACAAAAATTGGTGGCATAGGTAAAGAAAAAGTAAAGAGTTAAATACATTTAATTTAATATCCTGTTAACACCAGATTACTAATTAATTGCTGTGTAAGACCTATGTTTTATTGTTATTATTTTTATTAAAAACTATACTGATTCCATTATTCATTTTTTGTAATTAATGCATTCAAAAACGTAACCTGCTGCAGAATTTCTATCCTGCCACAATGAAGTGCCACAGAATGTAGGTTCAGTTTGCTATATAATATACAAGGCCTTGCTTATAAGGGAAAATAATAGTGGATTGCCCAGCTCAGCAGGTATAACCAGGGATGGATAATTTAGTGGAGTTCTAAATATAGCATTTCTAGGTAGAAATAGCACTGTGGAGTCCATTGGAGTTAATGAATGGTGCATTTGTTTAATTCCCTGGTGTCATATAGAATGCTAGACATTTCAATCTAGCATTTACCAATGAATTTACCAAAAATTTGGACAATCTAGAGATATAGAAGATAGTGGCAACCACAATTAGATCAGGGCAAAGGAAAAGGTATGTGTAGCATGGGTGTCAAGAGCAGCTTAATCAGGAAGCCATGCACAGTGATGTGCATAATGATACAACTTTATTGAGCTCACTAACTTAGCACACAATAACTTACATGATCTTATGTGCCAGTACGTTGCTTTTTCTGTAAGCAATCTATATACAGAGAAATATAGTGTAATACTCCCTTATAGAAATCAAAGGATTTATTGAGACAGTGAAAGCTACAACTCCAGCACATACAGGCAAGTCTTAACTTCTCCATCACCTGGATCCCCAACACCACACCAACAACTCAGTATTTTTATTTATTGCCTTGCCTTCATACTAAGACAAAGGCTATATTTTGGTGGAGATGCTGTTTGCACCAATCATTGCAACTCCCCAGACTTTAATTTAATGAGCATTTGAAAATAATGATAATAAAAGTTTTATTGTCATTGTAGCTCCCAGGAATCCAGGTAGTCTGCCAGCCACTCAAGTTTCTCTGTTGATCTGCTTGCCAGAGTTCAGTACATAGTCACAATGACATCATTCATTGCTGAATCTAGATTGTCAACAAGTATAGGGTACATGTCTTCCAAGCCCGGCCTGTCCACATGGGTCTACTGTCTGTTAAAGACTGCAGTGCAGTAAGATTCTGAGGATATACTAGCAATTTTTTCCACAATTAATCTCCCATTATGTGCTATAGGAACATACTGGGATATTTCCAAATCCTCTCTGCATGCTTCAGAAATTCGATGAATATCCTGTTTCTAAACACTATAGTTGACAATTTCCTAACTGAAAAAGCATTACACTGAACATGTGGGAATTATATATTATACCATCTCTTGAGAGACAAAGAGTGCTAAACAAAACTAAAAAGTAATGTTAAC